GAGAAAAACTAAAGAGGATACAAATAAATTGGAAGATATTCCAGGTTAGTGGATTGGAAGAATTAACATTGCTAAAATGTCTGTACTATCCAAAGTGACCCACAGATTCAATTCAATCCTGTTAAAATACCAAAGAAATTCTTCACAGATATAGGAAAATACAATCCTAAATTTGTATGAAACCACTAAAGACCCCAAACAGCCAAAGCAATTTTAAGCAAAAGCAACAAAGTTGGCATCATATTATCTGACTTCAAAATACTCTGCAATGCATAGTAACCGAAACAGCATAGTACTGAGGCAATGTGTTCTCTTTCTGGGTCCATGATGGGGTGTCGCTTTAAGGGCAAGAATTTCCCGACACCATGCCCCCTCCCATCTTTCTCCATCCAGGAGATTCAGCAGTTTATGTTTGAATTTTGCGGGCACGGGAAGAAACTAAAAGTCAATCACTCCAGCGGAAGTTCTAAGGAACTCCTTTCACTGGCCAGGGTCTTGGAGAAGGTGGCGGTGCCTCCCAGGATAAACGTCCATGCCCACACACTTGGCCGGATTTCCTCTCAGGAATCCCCTTCCACACTCTTAGTGGAAGGCTTTCTCTTCTCTCCTTGCCTTCTCTTTTCTCTACCTAAATAAAATTGCCTTTCTGCAGCAATTTTTGGGTCCGATACTGGCTTTACGAGCATACGGTCCATCTGCAGTGGCCCACTGCTTATTCCTTAAGAGGCTGGAGGCCAAGAACCCACAACAATCACCAGCATCCAAGAAAAAACCCGGTTGCAGTACTGACATAAAAATAGACATACAGCAAATGGAACACAGTAGACAATACAACCAAATCCACACACAGCCAATGGATTTTCAACAAAAGTGACAAAATCTCTCATTAGGGAAAGGACAATGTGTCTTCAGCAGATAGTGCCGGGAAGATGAAATATTCACATGCAGAAAAGTAAAGCTAGACTTCTATCTCTCCTCATATACAAATATCAACTCAAAATGGATTCAGGACCTAAATATAAGACCTGAAATAAGACAACTACTAGAAGAAAACAGGGGACATGCTTCATGACATTGGTCTGGGCACAAGCAAATAAAACAGAACAAGAAAAATAGAATTATATTGAACTAAAAAGCTTGGGCACAGGAATGGAAACAACACAGTGAAGAAACAACCTACAGAACGGGAGAAAATATTTACAAACTATGCATTTGATAAGAGGTTAATATCTAGAAAATACATGAACTCAAAGAACACAATAGCAAAAAAAAAAAATTCATTTAAAAATGGGCAAAAGACCTAAGAAGACATTACTCAAAAGAATACATACAAATGACCAACAGCAATGTGAAAAAAATGCTCAACATACTAATTATTAGGGAAATGCAAAACAGAACCACAGAGAGCTATCACCTTCCGCCCATTAGAATGGGTATTATCAAAAAGACAAAAAATAACAAATTCTGCTGTAGATGCAGAGAAAGAGGAACACTTAATATACTGTTGGTGGGAATGCAAATTATTACAGCCATTATGGAAAACAGTATGGGGGTTCCTCAAAAAATTAAAAATCAAGCTATAGTATGATCCAGCAATCCTACTGTTGAATAGATCCACAAGAATTTCAATCAGTTTGTTGAAGAGATACCTGTACTTCCATATTTACTGGAGGACTATTCAGAATAGACAAAACATGGAATAAATCTAAGTGTCCATCAACAGATGAATGAATAAAATGTAGAATATGTACATAATGGAATACTATTCCACTATTCAATATGAAATAATAAACACAGCTATAAAATAATTAATGCTTAGTTTACTTAACATAATGTCCTCCAGATCCATCCATCTTGCTGCAGATGATAGGTCTGTCCCAGAGCCAGCAACATGGATGGATCTAAAGGACATTATGTCAAGTAAAATAATCAATGTACAGAAAGACAAATGCTATATTATCTATTCATGTGTGGAATCTGAAGATGATCTCATAGAATTAGAGAACATAATAATGGTTAGCAGTGGCCAGAGGGAGGGAGGAGGAAGGGAAACTATAAAGAGATTAGTCAATAGGTGCAAAGTTACATTGAGGAGGAATAAATTCGTTTTGTTGCACAATAAGTTGACTATTACTAACAATATTGTATCATATGTTTCAATATAGCTAGAAGAGAGTATTTGGGATATTCTCACCATGAAGAAATGATAAATGTATGAGGTAATGGATATGCTAAATATCCTGATTTGATTATGATACAATGTGTAGACATGTATCAAAACATCACACCATACCAGGTAAATATGTACAATTATTTTGTATCAATTTTTTTAGAAGCTTGATTGTGCTTGTTTAATAAATTTAAAAGAAATTCCTAAATATTTTGACAGTATAAAAGATTTTCCAAAATCCGGCCAAGGTCCACGTGTTCATTTCCAAGTGACTAGACCCATGTGCAGGTTAGAAATAGCCATATAGCCAGGTGCAGTGGCTCACACCTGCAATCCCAGCACTTTGGGAGGCCAAGGCAGGAGGATTGCTTGAGATCAGGAGTTTGAGATCAGCCTAACTAACATGGTGAAACTCCATCTCTACTAAAAATACAAAACTTAGCCCAACATAGGGGTGGGTGCCTATAAGCCCAGCTCCTCAGGAATCTGAGGCACAAGAATCACTTAAACCTGGAAGCAGAGGCTGCAGTGAGCTGAGACTGCACCACTGCACTCCAGTCCGAGTGACAGAGCAAGGCTCCATCTCAAAAACAAACAAAGTAAAAGCAACAGCCATATAGTGAAAAGATGTTTACACTTACCTTACTATCTGAAAATGTTATCATGTTTGACAACATTCTACAGGAAAACATATTCTAAAGCTTAATGTGTATATATATATTTTCCCCTGACATCAATATTATAGTTTTATTATAGTAACAAATAGTTGGTACAGTGAGAGCCACACACATATACAGAATTATATTTAAATTCATATAGAATATTTAATTTTAAGTTATACTTTTGAAATTAGAAGATGAAGTACAGCTTAAGTTTGACAACAGAGAAATATATAAGACAAAAGTAGAGTTAACAATAAAAACACAACTATCTGTTCTTGATATAAGATGTGGAAACTTTTTGTCAGAAAGCTACATCTTCTTAATCTGATTGTCCAAATCATGAAAATATATATATATTTATTATATTAATGTAAATATTTTTAAAATAAATTGACAATAAAAAATATGTAATAGATGATCATTTATCTGGATAATATTTTTAACTAAAAAATTCATTTTAGTAACAATTGAAGAATGAATTGAAGTATTGCAGAATGTATGGGGGAAAATTCAGTCCAGCCTGCTGGCAGAGAATACTTAATATCACAGTGGCCTAAATAAAGAGACGGTCAGATTAGAACAGGCTTCAGTACTATATTATGGTAAACTGACTAGTAATACATGTGTGAAGCTGATTTTTAGAGATTTATATTTTGGTAATTTAAAACTGTTCTTTTGAAAAAATAAAGAATACATATTTTTATTTATAATTTATTTGCAAAACAGGAATATATATGATGTATGCAGATATTATCATATAATCACTGCATTATTCCACAGTTAATGTCTAAATATCCAAAATTATATTAATCTGAAAGAGTTCAGGCCTAGTTTACCATATAAGGAAATATATTCAGTGGTGAAAATTGGGATGCTGGGATATTCACAAAGTCAGAATAACCTTATGTTATTAGACTTTAGATGTGAAAGCTGTATTAATCTTTAAAATCATGAAGTGAAATATTTACAATAATTAAAGATTAGTTTTACATTTTCCTCGTTAGGGATATATAGATATCTCAAATGTATGTATGATGTGTCAAATTCCTATCTTGTGATCTATGTAATTTTTTTTTTTTTTTTTTTTTTCCCCCCGAGACGGAGTCTCGCTCTCACCAAGGCTGGAGTGCAGTGGTGAAATCTCGGCTCACTGCAACCTCCACCTTCCAGGTTCAAGCAGTTGTCCTGTCTCACTCCCTCTCCCCCACAAGTAGCTGGGACTACAGGCATGTGCCACCACACCTGGACAATTTTTTGCATTTTTAGTAGAGCCTGGGTTTTACCATATTATCCAGGATGGTCTGGATCTCCTGACCTCATGATCCACTCGCCTCAGCCCCCAAAGTGCTGGGATTACAGAAGTGAGCCACCGCACCCGGCCAATTTATGTAATTTTAAAATTATTTTTCAAGGTCACAACACTTTTGAACATTTGTCCACATGTTTTTTAAATTTAAAACTTTTTCATTGTTAATTTAGTTTTTTGCTTCTTTCCAGTCATGAAAAAACCTTTATAACAACAGCATATAAATATGCCTACAAATTTCAATACCTTCCTCAAGACTTACTAATGCCTTACTCTTCATGTATTACACAAGAATATTTCATATTACATTTACTCTGTGTAACATGAATTCAACTTTTATTAAACCCATCTTTAATGACTAATGACACATTTTCATTTTAACATAATTAAAGCTCTATGTCTAAACCAATTCAAAAACAAGTATGATTGAAGGAAACTAAAGACATCTCTCTCCTAAAACTAAAGGCAAATAAATTTCAAATAGGTTTCTTCACTTATTTACCACTTGCAAATAGGGAAATCAAAATCTCTCCTTTTGAGAAATATTTTCCCCAAAACCCAAATCAGTCAGCGAAATGTATAACTATGTGAAACACAGGGAAACTTACAGGTTAAAAAAGTATGTTAGGACATATTAAGCTAAAAAAATGTTTTCAAGATTTAACATTTTAAATTTAACTACCACATTAAAATAAGTTTTCCTTTATATTTAAGTTCTCTAAATCCTTAAGTCAACCACATACCAGGTTTTGAAAGGCCAAAATAGAGAAATTATCTTTTCAAATAGCTATGAATTCATGGTGCCTGAATTAGGAAAGTATCCTAGCAGAGTAGGGTGGAAATACTGTACCTTAATTCATACCTGGGTAAAGAATGGTTCATAAATCTCAACTCCTTTATCAGATCCTTGCAGCAAGACCTCCTGGCCACGTCTCCAGCTGTACCGAACAGGTGGATTGGAATTGGCAACGCACCGGAGGAACACTGTTCTCTCATAGTAAAATTGTTCTTTAGCTTCGCCTATACTTTGATGAACAGTTACTACTGGGTCATCCAAATCTAGAAGAAGTAAAAACAACCAAATGACAATGTTATTAGATGACTTTTTTAAAATATGTATTTTACTGCATTTTAGGTTTTGGGGTACATATGAAGAACATACAAGATTGTTGCATAGGTACATACATGGCAATGTGGTTTGCTGCCTTCCACCCCATCATCTATATCTGGCATTTCTCCCCATGTTATCCCTCCCCAGCTCCCCACCCCCTGCTGTCCCTCCCCTAGTTCCCTGCCACAGACCCCAGTGTGTGATGCTCCCCTCCCTGTGTCCATGTGTTCTCATTGTTCAACACCCACCTATGAGTGAGAACATGTGGTGTTTGATTTTCTGCTCTTGTGTCAAGGCTACAGTAATCAAAACAGCATGGTACTGGTACCAAAACAGAGATATAGACCAATGGCACAGAACAGAGGCCTCTGAGGCAATGCCACACATCTACAACCATCTGATCTTTGACAAACCTGATGAAAACAAGCAATGGGGAAAGGATTCCCTGTTTAATAAATAGTGTTGGGAAAACTGGCTAGCAATGTGTAGAAAGCAGAAACTGGACCCCTTCCTGCACCTTACACTAAAATTAACTCCAGGTGGATTAAAGATGGATTAAACGTAAGACCTAATACCATAAAAACCCTAGAAGAAAATCTAGGCAAAACCATTCAGGACACAGGAATAGGCAAGGACCTCACGACTAAAACACCAAAAGCACTGGCAACAATAGATAGATGACTTTAAAGTATTGTGCATATGCAACCCAACCAAAAATATGTATTCCTCATTGACTGTATTACTTAGCACTAGGTTCTTTTTTTTTCCACTCAGCTTATTGAATTCATTTGCAAAGATGTTTCTAGTAAGAAGTCTGTTAGTATCTCTATTTGTTGATATAGTACAAATAATCTGTGTATTTCCAACTCTTTGTCAATAGCCACATAAAACAGAGTTCCATGAGACAGATAAAAATTTAAAACACTCAAATTCAAGAGTTAACCAAAACAATGAACCTCAGTGACAAAAAAATTAGTATCAAGCTGCCCAACTTACTCTTTCTTTTCTGAAACAGGGTGTGCTCTGTCATCCAGACTGAAGTCCAGTGGTAGAATCAGAGCTTACTGCATCCTCAACCTCCTGGACCCAAGCCATCCCCTTACCTCAGCCTCCTGAGTAGCTGAGGCCCAGGCATGTGCCACCATGCCCGAATAATTTTTTTGTTGTCCAGACAGGGTCTGGCTATGTTGCTTAGGCTGGTCTTAAACTCCTAGCTTCAAGTGATCCTCCCACCTCCGGTCTCCCAAAGTGCTGGGATTACAAGCGTGAACTACTGTACTGGACCTCTTTGTCTTAATATACTTCTTTTTCCAATTATTTATAACTTATATATTAAAAACAATTAAAAATTGTTTGTAAATTATTAGATAATTGTTTGCAAATTATGTATAGTACCAAAATATGACCTTGCACAGGATTAAATGTTATCTCAAATTTCATATTCCAGATTATATCTGTTAATTTCAAGAGTGCTAAAAGAAGGCATTATTGCCATTATTAAAAGGCAATCCAAATTCAATTACTGGATATTGGAACTAAATATGTGCCCTTTTGCATGTATCCTAAAGAAAGACTACACAGTAGAGGTTCAGCATTTTCTGAAAAATGCATAAATACCTTGGGCTTTGTGGATCAAATGATTACTGCCTCAACTACTCATTGCTACCATTGCAGTGTGAAAGCAGCCAAAGACAATAGGTAAATTAATGATAAATGTTGCTGAGTTCCAGTAAAACTCGATTTATAAATGCAGGCACTCTTCAACCAGGTTTGGCTAATGGACTATAATATGCCGGATATGGCATAGTCCAGGTTCTTAAGAGAAAAATAAATTTTAACAATGTACTTGCCTTAAAGCAACAAGCTCTTAGTTCCATGTGCTAGTATAAACTTAGTATATACTTTAAGTATGATGTGAAACCTGCTGTGTTCATTACCACCTTTTAATCATAACCAAGAAGGGTTACTTAACTTTGGGGTCTTCAGTTTCCTTGTCAGCAAATCAGAATAATAATGATACCATATTATTTAGGCTGTCGAAGGATTAAAAGAGATAGTCCACCAAGCCCTGGACACAAAACACTAAGGTGGTGCAAAAGCAATTTCAGTTTTTGCTATTACCTTTAATGAATGCTTAATAAAAGTTACCTATTACTATTATTAATAATATTATCACTATCATTATTCATTACTGGAGTCTCATTTAAACTCCTATTGATTCTATGCTGTTTTATTTCACCAATTCATAATACACTCAACCACTACTATAAATAGGTAAAATGCCACTTGCCCATTGTTCAAACTATCAAATGCTTCTATATGACAAAAATTTTTACAAAGGCCTGAAAATAACCTACAGTATTTATATGGGCATAAGAATACTGAACTGTGTGAGCATATGCTACCCTAAATATTTAAAAGGCATTGTTCCTTAGAAAAGACTCTTTCTGATGTGTTAACATAATAAAAAGCCAACAAAAGTAGTGAAGTAATAGCTAACCTAGAGAATCAAAGTAAAGAACAGAATCCAAATTTTTTGCGATTTTTTTTAAAAAGTTTTTTTTTCTTTCAAATGTGAATCGCTTGACAGCCCTACTTTGATTTCTAGTTTTGCAACATTCTGAGGATTTTTTTTCTTCCAACATTAGAATACTTTCACAGCTACCTCAAAGGCCTCTAATTTTAGTAGTGTAAATTTACAGAACAACTGCTGCTTTTTGGTAAAGTTTAAAGGAACTTTCCATTTAAATTCACTCTATTAGCTGCAATGATATATGCTGTCTGGTTTTATTAAGTTGCGATATTTAGGGACACCAGCATCATTATTATGAAATGTTTGGAGGTTTTAAAAATCTATCAAATATTCACTAATTTGGTAATTAACCTTTCACATATATCATATATATATATATATATATTAATTGAATTTAGCCTTAGTGACTTGAAAAAAGATATTCTGATTCAACTGTAAACCATTTATTTTTTCTTGTTCAGAACATAACTTCTTTTAGTCACAGGCTCATTTTTGGAAGTTATGAGCTGTATATGTTATAAAAATTAAATTCTGAATTCAGAAAGGTCAGGAACAAAACAGAATTGGACGGTAAACAGTGTAACAATGGTGAGTTCCAAACTGTTAATAGGGCTGTGCTTTCCAACATCCATTTATTGATGTATCCCTAGCTCTTTTCTTGTTACGTGGTGGTGTCAACAGACTCAGTCTGGAATAGATCAGACCTGCTTTTCCCTGGTCTGAATGACTTCTGGGTAATTGCTTTTAAAGATTCTAATTTTGTGACAATGGCTTACAGTATTGGCTATCTGTTGAATTCATTCATGTTTAGAAATTTGAAGTGTTTCCTTGCATTTCAGATTTTAAAACAACATGCCAAAACAAGATTTGTTTTATACAAGTAAAACAATAGCACAGCTAAAAATATATAATTTTAAGGGAGATTATACATGTGTGTGTGCCTACGTGTATGCACATGGGTAGATATATATACACAGAATTTAATTTACACACACATATCACTTAAATCTATTTTAATATATATTCCTTATATTACTAAATACATACTGAATATTTGCATTTGATTTAGGACAGGTTTCTGAGAAAACAGATTCAGAGACGTGTGTGCACAAATGGTTCTGGGAAGTACCTTATAGATCAACACGTGAGAGAGTGAAAGAAGTGGGATTGATCAAGGGGACGGTTGAACTACAGTACAGTTGCAGGACTCAGTAGCTTTGTAGAACTTTCTGAGCTGTGATATCCCCTCAAAGCTGCCCTGCCCTGAGGCTAAGGGGGGCTAAGACTTTATACACCCTCCCCTCCCCTGTCAACAGGTCATTCAATTTGTGCTACTCCTCACTAGGAGACATAACCTTTGTAGGGCCTGATCCGTTTGGCTTATTTCTAGACAGGGTAATTTTAGCTGATGGCAATTATCTGGTAATACTCTCAGCAGAGGGAGGAATGAGTGCTTCAGTCCTGAGGAAGGCATCTGACTGGGGCACTGCAGTATCCACTCAGATCTACTTGCTAGGTGTGGGTAAGTGCAATAAATCCATCCAGGAAAATCTTCTCCAAGACTCCAGTTACTGTAGTCTCTTTCTGGGAACACATTCAAAAGGACTATATCCATCATCTCCTACTATTGCCATTCAAGAATCCGCTCACTCTGGGCTTGTACATCTTTTGATGAAGGTAGCTTACCTTTAGTTGCATTACTAAAATTCTGTCAAATTTAAGTCCTTGATCATTACATCCTTGTCAAACCAAGGCTATTGTACTTGTCTATTTATGATCAAAATTGAACAAGAGAATGCCTAGCAGAGCATTCATGTTTAGAAATGTCTAAACAGGAATGAATTCGACAGAAATGACTCACTGCATGAACTGGGTATCAAACATAGTGTTCACTGCCTCACTATGTAACAACAGTCCTACCAACAGCCTCATATAGGCTGCTCACTCCCAACAGGATAGTCACTCCTCTTCCGTTTGCTGACACAGAAGCCGGAAGCAACTGAGTTGCTGCCATGGCTTAAAAATTAATAGGATTCTTGCTATGTCATTTAATAGAAGCTTTTTCTCTTTCTGGGAACTGGGGCCTCTCAACTGGCAGAGCCCAGAGTTGCGGGAAAGAAATCATTCCCCCAGAGGGTCACTGGATGTGATGATAGTGAGGTCACTTCTTGGTTCTTGGACCTATGTATTCTATATGGAGAAAAAGAAGCATATAATAATGGTCATTGACTTAGAGTTTAACTGCTTCCTGGAGGGTAGCACCCACTCCTTACTGGATATTTTCTCTACAAGACTCAATTGTCCTCTCTAAAACACCATTCTCTCATTCTATTAAGTTGGCAATTTCAGTTGATGTAGTACATGATATGACCAGATAATCCATGGCAATGTGCCCACTCCAGAATGCCAGATATC